TCTCTTTAATGGAGTTTATGAGCATGTTAATGACTATATTTAGAAACATAGGACTAGAAGGAATGTCCTAGTCTAGTCCTCTAATCTTGCAAGCAACCATGTACTGTAATTTTTCTCAGACTGATTGAGCTCCAATTAAAAACTAACTGGGGGTGGGGGGGTTTGCCATCACTACTTCTACAGGACACTATTCCAGAATATCATTCCTCTTATAGTTAAAAGCTTTCTTCTAAGCACCAGCCTAGTTTTATTCATGGCCAGTTTGAGTCTTGTGAAAATACTGTCCCTTAACTTGAACTACTTTTTCCTCTCCCAGATATTTGCCCCCCAAGCATTCAGTTGGAGAACAACTCTGTCCCCTCCTCCACCTTTGTTTTGCTAAATTAAACATGCTAAGCTCTTTTAATCTCCCTTTGCAAGATAGGCCCTCCCCCCCCCGATCATCCTACTAGTTCTTCTCTGCACCCAAACCAGTTCACATTTATTTTTCTTGAGCAGGAACCATAAGAATTGTATACAGAATCCCAGCTGAGGTCTCACCAGAGCCATGTACTTCCCTGTTTCCACTAGACTTACCTCACCTGTCCTTTTCACATTAATATTTGAAATGTGTGATATTGGGAATGTAAAGTGTGATATCTTCTATGCTCTGAACACACAGGTGTTCTCCATCTCAGACTTGTATTATTCTACAGTCTTTAGGGGCCAGGAATAAATGTCATTCCCTTGCAGCAATGGAATTAGCAATATTCATCCAAAGGAATGAGCAGGGAAATCCCTCTCTCGTGCTTTAATGAGGACCAGGGAACTGTCTTAGTTTGAAGAGGACAGGAATGAATGAGCACAGACTAGCACAGAAATATATTCAAGAGGCTGCAACTTTATTGAATTAAACTCAACAATATACCACTGATAGGCATAAAATAAAACTCCTTGGGCCACTGCTCTGTGTATCAAGAAGTAGTGCAGTAGACATGATGTTGCCCTTTCCCAGAAACAAACCAAGGCCACAGGCCCTTACCAGTTTTTCACAGAGGTCAAGAAACCAGGAGTGCATTGTTACTGTTGGGGTCAAATGAATAATTTACTAATGATGCTTTTGGATCTGAAGGGTGATGGTTCCTTGAAGCTTTTTCAGGAATCTGTACCTAATAGGATGCTCTAGTCTAAGATGAAGTAAGATCATGTGGGAAATGGCCAACAGAATCACTTCTAACTGAGTCCTGATGCATTTCCCCTTTCAGAAGAAGACACATGGCTAAAGCAGACCAGGAGAGAGGTGGCATAGTTCAGAGGACAGATTGGAAGTTAAGAGGCACAATGTAATGACTTGGGGAATTTGTCTATGTACAACCTATGAATTCCAGTTGATTTTATGAACTGTCACTATCCTTATGTCTGACGACTGACTTTTACTGTGTTCTTCCTTTTACACCTTGAACTAAAGAGATGCAGCAGTAGCATTAGTCCATCTCTTCATGTGTGGGTCAGTGGTTAAAGACTATCAGCACCTGAACAGATTTTAATGAAGGAGGAACAAAAAATGGAACTGACTCGTAGGAAAGGCCAGCGTCTCTGACTGCTGTTGCGATGGGGTGAGGATGGAGGGGTACGGGACTCAGATTTGAAAGAATTCCACAAAAGCAGAACCAAGACATGAGCTGTCAGTACTGGGTCTTAAAGCGACAAAGCTTGAGAAACTCAAGGGAGAAGAAGAAGGCGTGGGCAGGAGAGGCTCCTTTTCCATCTCTGACCAGCTAAAGAACAAGGCAGCAGGACAGACTAGACTCCATGATTCAAAGGAGAACCCATATGCAGGAGAAATTCCTTAAAACACTGACCAAAGTCCAAAGAATGCTCCAGAACCCTGGATCAAAGGCATCAAGCTGGTCTTGGCACCCAAGGGGATACAGACTATAGGGTCCTATTTCCATGAAGAAGTAAAAAACAGAGAACCTGTGCCCAGGAACTGTGCCAGACAGGCCAAGGGAAGTCACATTGCTGGAGTTTATAATGACTCAGGAGACTTAAAGATCTCAGGGGAGAGGTCCAAACACAGCAGCTTGGTGAATGTCCAACAAGGTAACTTTACTTGAATTTTCTTCCATGAAATGCTACTAATTTAATACAAGACTCTCTGTGCCTTGGTTTCTCCATCTGTAAAATAGGTTGAGCAACATATTCTGGATCAGAAGCAGCCAATTAGGGCAGAGCATAATTATTTATTATTATGCAGCCTTTATAAGATACCCTCAAACCACTGTATGGTCTACCCAGTGGTCTACTAGCATAACATTAAAACACTCTGCTAGCTTTTTAATCAAGGAAGGCCAATAACAAGTTCTGCAAATCTTCCCTCACTCTTTCCTGCTGAATTACTGTAGCTCCCATCCCTTCTACAGTCCATCCTTTCTCCATCCATGTGGAGCCAACCCTCCTCTTATGGCAAATGTAGGCCCTGCACTGACTTCTATACTCACTGCAGGCCTGGATTGCCCTGACCTATCCTCCTTCATGCTCCTGCCTGGGTTCAGGGGGGATGGGAAGGCCATTAGCTGCAGGTTGAAAAATGCCAGTTCTCAAGCCAAAACTGGCGACTCAGTGGCCCCACCAAGGCTAGCCCTACTCCTAAGCAGCCCCCCCCCC